CACACTTGCATATACTTTTATCTTCGGATCATTTATATCAAAAGAATCAAGGAAAGATGACAGTTGAAGTAAAATAAAATGATAAATGCCTAAACTAAAATTCCAATGAGCATAAGGACACAGGGAGCCCAATCTCTGGAAAGTGCAACTAGTAGTGTTTGATTATGTGAAAACTAACTTGCAATAAATTCTATAAGTTCAAYGGGGAAAACARTGACATATTTCAAATTTAATTGTATCATCACTCTATAATCCCATATTTAAGCAACTACTGTATTATTTTCAAATTCTCTAGATATCTAGACCTGAATCAATGTCTTTGTTCATTTTGGAGGCAACATAAACACAAGGATGTGTGAACTTGAATATATAATATTTATTCTTGCATTTTGTTGTGCTTTCTTTTGTTTCATTTTTTCATTTTTATTTCTCAAACAATTACATTGTTAAACTTCTTAAGAATRCTTTGCAATACTCTATTTTACAGTTCTGCTCAGCAACCACAAATAATAGTTTCATGTCAAGGTTGGAGTTTCTGCATATAGCAAAACTACGGTTGCCAATTTTATTATAATCTACTACTGTATAATCTATCTGTTGAACTAATGGATGAATAAGAAATGTAAACTGCATGACCCCTTAACATTGACAGAAAGGCAATACAAAGGCAGACAGATACTCTACTAGAGCACTTTTAATGCATTATAATTAATATACATCCAGATGGACRCAAACAGATTCAATGTACTAACGAGAGATAACTAGCTAAAAACTAGTGTACTAACGGATTGCTTGCATTTGTCTTTAYGACATTAACCTTAACATTCATCAAATACAGAGGTTATAAACTGTTCTTGTTTTTRATGTAAGATGGTAATTTCGAAACACTAAAAGGGAATAAAACTCCCAACATCACTGTTATCATCATCATGCACAATATAAAACAGTAGGATGCTGTATACAAGTAAATGTTCCATGGAGGTAAGCTAGCAAAAGGGTTAATAACTCTCCATTCTAACGTTACAGCATTGCTTTATTAGCTTTGCTAAAAGCAGTAATATAAAGTATATATACATATATACATCATATTAGTGATCAGTTTTTRAAATTTATAATTGTTTTTTTAAATCAAAAAATTACCACTATTTAATCAAGACGCAAACTTTTCAGCTTAAGTTTGATTATAGTTTTGTCTTCCAGTAGGTGTTTAGAAAAGGTAATCCTTTGGATTCCCGATATCGACTGACTGAATTACTATAGTAATAATATTGGTCGTAAAAGAGGTTTTACGCTACTGAATCGAGTCGGCAGAGTCGGAAGAATTCCAAAGTACATACCGCATGATTGCTGAATATGTCATTTGTAATTTAGCAATACACTTAGCGGACRCCGTGAAATCAATATTATTATTATCATTATATGTACTTGACTCGGTGTTTGATTCTAAAAGTCTGAAAAATGCATAACAATTTGAGGGGGCACAGCATGCGCAATCGAGCCACGAAAATAGAAAATAACAATCAAAGTATTGATGCATAAGCTCTTATGTTTCGATCGGATCGTTCAATCAATTTTCTAAAATTTGTTACGAGTATCCGAAATTTCAAAACGCTTTCTCGAACTACTAAACTTAAGTATATGAGCACTATAAAATTGGCATGGCATCTCGAGGCGAACAATTTAACTATCAAACAAGTTCGGATATAAACTTATATGAGTGAAACATGAATAAAGTCAAAAACAACGAATCATGGTGAAAGCGCTACTGCCTAACATAGAATCCCAATTTGATGGATCTGTAGCTATTGTAATTTATAGCTCTATAAAGCTAGTATTAGATAGTATGTCAACAAACCTTGGTATGTTCGCGAGGTACCACAGAACTTTTCCTATGTGCTCTTCGTCTAGAACGTCTTTCAAAAAAGATTCGGCCGGAAAAGTAATGATTCGACCTCCTCGCCGATCCACTCCTCCTGTAAGACAAAACAGATCGTCAATCTTACGATGTAAAATGACCTGTYGGTAAATTAAATTTCCACGAGACGAGCGAACCAGTAGCAATGGTGTTCCATTGATAAATTAGTCATAAAATTAAGCGTAGCACAAAATGTTGGTCGTATGGTCGATACTACAATTAATTATATGAACTTAAATATTGTAGTTCTAGATGAATTTGCTTTACCGCCTAATTTACTTTTAAATATTATACGAACTTGAAATTTAAGTTTCGGACATATTCTTTGTTTATTTACTTAAAAAAATARGTTTTAATTTAGGAAATCTTTGGTTATTTAAGGAATATATCATTTTCTACCGGAGGTAAGCTTACGTTTGTTTTTTTCCCTTCAATTAATTCGGACGGTAGACCGCGTAGCGTATAGTCGAGTAGCGCGACACCGGGCTAGCTGATGGTAGTTTACCTGATAAAAACGCAATTTGCTGGAGCAGTAGGTCGTAAATATCTTTAGCCCTGTAGCCACGGCACTGGCTATCTCCTACAGTGATTACATGGCAAAAAAGTCAAGACAAAGGATTAGATCATTCGACGACAAGTATAAAAGTACAACTCCAACTGATGAGAAATTTTTTAAACAAAAAAACTTGGTAGGAAACTCGTAAAAGAACCTTAACTAATTTACCTGAGTAAAATATCGAAGAAAGGTCACTATCAGAGGAGGCGGTAGACCACCTTTCTGATATATTCATTTTGGATATCATAGTTTTTTCTTGATTCTGTTTGCCTTTCTGTGACAGTTTTGGCTTGAGGAAGCCATCTTGGTTAATAGGCCAGGCCGGGGATGACGTCACGCCAATCTTAATGTATGCTAATTTATGCTAATTTATGCTACTCGACATTAAGAGAACGGATGGGGGGCGGGGGCGGGAGGAAGGGGGGCAAAATCCCAAAGAAATATCTAGCAAGCTGAGATCGACTTCAGTGAGAGAAAATATCGAGCAGCAAGCCTTTTATGATAGGAACTCATGGAAATTGCATTCCCGAATTCCTAGATTTTAAAATTTTCCTTACGGGCCCCTTTCTCGTCACGGACACTAAAAAGGTAAGCCAACCACCTACTTCAAATTGTCAGACGATCGAATAATTTGTGCATCCTGTGCGATCAACAGTTTTTTGTTCGTAATAATGTATAATACCAATATTTTCTAGTATGAGAGTGAAGGTACATCGATGGGTATAAAACTTTTATCAAATCAGTAGTCAAACTACTAGTTATGTGAACTAGTCAATATGATAACATCACTCATCGTATATATGCAAAAACAAACGGTCCTAGTTTTTACGAGGGTACACTCGATAGCCAGTGGCTAACAAACCTATGGCCTTCGTTCCATYATYGAATTATAATTTAGGAAGRGTTGATTCTCGTGGGAAGAAAATCAGAGAACCCGGAGAAAAACACAGGAAGCACATGGGACACACGACACCGAGYTCGGCGGGACTTCAACCYGCGTCGCATCGATGAGAAGCGAGCGCTCTCACAGCTACACCACCCGTGCTTCCCATAAACATGACAGCTCTAGCCTTTGACTCTTTTCCGATGCAATATTCGAGAACTGCTGACACATGATCATTTGATTTGTCAATTAGTTGAGCCTTCAGTGCGAAATTCAGTTGGCTTTCGGTTGACGTCGACCGTTGGCAAAGGGACAGTTTATTTTTTAACGGGGTGGGAGTAAGCTTGGTATAAGAAATCTGACCCCCCCCCCCCTCCACCCCCTCGTTGTTGCATAAAAATGACCACTCCATTGGTTTTCTATTCTGTTTATCGTAAACGTGCACGTGCTGTGTATTTTGATTGATCCTCTCTCGACTCGAATTCTTTCGTGTGATCCTCATTTTGTGCCTGTCTTTTTCCTCCCCCCCTCCTCCTCCTCCAAAAGAAACCCAACCGGCCACTCCTATCTACGGTAAAAGAAAAATGAACGGTCCCAAATATATTTCTGATTCTCAATTACTGACTGATCTATTTACCTCAAGAAAATTAAATGAAAAACAAAACCTCAAATTGTTTTTCTCACGCCTATCATACRAAAGAACGCCGTATGATTCCGATCCCCGACTGTTTAGCTGTCAGTACGAATTTAATACACAGTCCAGGTTTCATGCTATTGCTTTGAAGATCAAAAAGTTGGTAAGTTGACAGCTTTTTTTATCTCATCGTTTGCTAATGCAAGAGTAGTATTAGTAGTATTAACCCTTAAAGTCTTGACACTTCTAGCCAGCTAACCACTAGCTGTCTAGAAACAAACCGCTATCCCACTACAGTTTTTTAGCTGGCATGAAGCCATTATTGATTCATTAGTATATTTCATTTCATACAAGGTCTATTGTATCAAATGACGATGGAATGGCCTGACATGATCAGTTCAGTAGTCATTCACGCTGTCCGGGATTCCGATCCGGCAATCCTTGACGCGGGTCAGTACTTTGTTACCAAAAAGCCACTAGCTCGAAGAAGATCTCTAACTCACTTAGAGGTCGCCGCTAGGTCACCGGTAGAGCGATGAGCACTTAACTATGGCGTTATATCCCCGCCAAAAATCAGCATTTGGATTCAACATTGAAAGTTTCTAACTAAATCTTCATTCTTGATGCGATGTCTCCATGCGACTTTGGTGTCTACGTTTCCGACATTGAACTTTTGAATTACTAAAATTCGACATTCAAGTTTTGAATACGACATTGAACTCTCAGGAGCGTGTCCAGGATTTTGCCATTTTGTTTGGGCCCCCGGAGCGCCGAACCAAAAAAAGGCCGGCATTATTGCAATGGCAATCTAAAATTACCATATAAATTCTGAAACGCCGCCATTTTGTTGCGCGCCACGAATGGGGGGGGTGGCGAAACTTAAAATTACCGTATATATTTTTTTTAAATGCCACGCCCCCTGCCTATGCCCTAGCTTGACTCTTAACTTGAATTTCAGATATTGTTGCACATAATTGCTCATTCACTTTTCGCATTCAATCTCTCCAGTTTGAAAAATAGGGAGTTGAAGTCATATTATAGAAATCTTCATTTCAATACAACATTCGTGTTTCAAAATCGACATTCGTGTTTCACAATCGACAGGGCACTGCTAAACAGCGAAACACCGGAACGAAACACCGGAACAAAACACCGGAACGAAACAGAGACAAATTCTTGATATTACAAATATCATGCAATARAAAAATAAAAGAAATCAAAATACACGATAGTACAATGATACAAAAGCGATAAAGCTTACCTTCATGCCCGTGCTTTATGATCTGTGATCCGTATCGAGCGTTTATTGCCTTTTATTARCAGTGTCGTTTTGCTGGCTATCAATGCAATTCTTTCTCGAATTTGAAGGATTCCAATGGTTCTTTTAATAAAACAAGCATTAGTCTTAACTGCTTCTGTCTCTAGTATCTACACCAAAAAAATTGTGAAAAAAATAAAGTTCTCGGGCGACGCCATATTTATTTAAACAAAAGCACATGAAGCCCAGCTCTTGACWAAGGAAACCCAACAAATTGAWAAAKGAATCTGTCATAAAACATCGTTTCCTAAACTGCAGGTGGTGATGATTAGTGTTTTAAATAATGATAGACAAGAAGATGGAAAGCTTATGGTTGTTTTCGAAAGTTACCATTACCTATAGCGACTCTGTACAATGGTAAAAAAAAAAACTTATTGTAGTACTGTATCAGATTAGTAAGTAAAACGAGGTATAATAGGGATCAATGATCTGCGTTATTTTGGGGCTCAGGGATCACATTTTAGCTAATTTTGGGCTCGGAGATCCGAGTTTTATTGTCTAAAAAGGTAGTTGGATGATGTACGAAACTTTTCGGATTTTTTAGGGATTAGAGATGTGCCTTTTGAGGCCGGGATCCGAAATTGTTGGGTTTCCTTTGGGGCTTCCTGTGCTTTTGTTTAATGGCGTCGCCCGAGAACTTTTTTTTTTT